TGGTTCCCTTTTTCTCGCGCTCGCGGGGTGAATTGGTCATAGTTAACTCAAAGATTATTATTAGCCTCAATAGGCTTTTCAACAATTTTGAAGAGGTCTGGAAGGATTCAAGGATGCGATAAGCACACGCAAGTTTGAAGTTGTGTTGTGGACAATCTCTAAATGAAACTGAGAATTTATATTTACCTGGCTAGGGTTTCCTGGTTTCGGAGGAAAAATCATAAAAAAAAAAAATCCATAACAAAACTAAAGCAAGCTATAAAGTTGACTTTAATGCTTTTTTTTTTGCTGTAGGGGTTGTTGCAAGGTGGGAAATTCGGGAATAACGAACTTGTTAAGGAAACATTTGTGTTTGAAATATTTAGGGAAATATTATACCACTCTGAATCAAAAACTTTGACGAATGTCTTTCACAGCCCGTCAGCATATGTATGTGTTCAGACCAATACAAATATATAAATCAAATGAAGCAAGAAGGTCTGTTCTGTGGAAAGTTTATACATTTTTTTACCAAAACAAAGGCCGAAAACAGAAGCTATTGAGTATTTCGTGACAGTTTGCGAACGTGACATTGGCATGCAACCGATTTCCTGGTCAGTAGAGGTCATAAGATTTTCACTATAGAAACATATTACAGCCAACAGTAAGTAGTCCTTTTACACTAAACTTTGCGTTTAGTATGAATTCATTCAGCGGGCCGTCTAATTTGCATAAATTTTATTAATTTAAATTCTCAAATTGCTTACTCTAGTGTCAGGGCTGTATTTAATTTCCAGAGCTAAAATGTTCCCGTAATTTACTTCAATAGCCAAGGCTTTATTCTATATGGGTTTTGCTAGGAAGCGGCATATACCAGAGGGCTTTTACAACAGCTAAAGTTCGCTTTCATTTTCTAACATTTCAAAAGACACAAATATGACCTTTTTAAACTTGTCGATTGTAAATCATGTCAAAAATTTATTTCTTCAAATTTTCTTTTAGGGCTTTAAAGATTAAGAACGAAATAATACTCGGCTGAAGTTTCAATGTTAGGGATTGTTTCTTATGCGTTCACCGTTTTCTCGAAGTTGCAGTCGGATTCTGTTGTTTTTAAGCGCGAAAAAACAGTAATAAATCGATTTTTCAAACTTTTTGTAATTTTTCCGTACAATGAATCGCTTGTACCCAAAACTATTTTTTTCTTAAATTAGGTCACTAAAAGGGATGTTTTGGCGAAAGAAAAAAAAAATTCAATTTTTTTACGAGTGTCTTGCGATTTTTGATTTTCTGGGAAAATGGCTCTTAAAAAAATATGAAAAGGAAAAACATACTTTGTCCACATGCTCTTTAGGAAGACGTTATAACTACGAGAGTTTCGATAACTTCTAGTATATAAAGAGCTCTTCTAGTTTATTACTGTTTACTTCCAAACAATAAATTCTTTATCCTCTCAACCATACCAACGCTTTCTCAGGGAAGGGGGCAGTGGGAAATTCATCCCATGATTCATCACACAAAAAGGCATTTGAAAGGGAAGGGAATTTTTTTTTTCAATCTTGGTCCCTAATGACGTGTTGAATCGACCAGAGAATTAGAAATTCGTATTGTTAATGTAAATATTTGAAGATGAAGCGTTAATTCTAAACACGCGCAACCTTTAGAATTCAGGAGAAATAAATGTCATATTCATAAAACAGTACAACATGACTACACATAAGAAGGTGAAAAATGGAAAATTCTGGAATATTTTAGAATATTCTGATACACTCTACATGAAGAGTCAAAGAATCAATAAAACGTTGTTAAAAATAATATTAAAATCATTCCATTTATTCCTTTCTTTACGAACAACAACAACAATAAAAACGAATATTTCTGGCTAACTTAATCTATAACTGTGCCAAATATGAGACTGTTTTTTCTTGATTCGAAAATTAAATTTTAGTCATTTGAGGGAAAACGCTGTCATCTCATTTGGATTAAAGGAAAATTAAACATTTTTGTTTCATTTCAATTTCTTTTGCCATAGCTCAGAAGGTCCGTTGTTATGAAATGCAACTTATTGGCTGAAAACCGATGCCTTCATGTTCACTAAGATACTGCTTGAAGTTTTATACTATCTTTTTTCCTCTTGTGAATAACACGCACAAAAATGTTGAAAAAAATTTATCAATGTGCAACATGCATGAACGAGTCGAAGTTGTTTGGGGGTTAAACCTGCCATAAAGTTTGATGTAAAGTTAAATATCCCGTTTATGATTTGAGAATAAATCAAATTCTTTATCACAATATTCAAATTTCCTACGCAGTATGAACAATAGTTTTCAGACAAGAAGACAGAGTCACTTCTTTCCTTTTACCAGATCTTAAGATACATTACCATTTTTATAGTACGTGAATTTCAGCTGTGCATGACCGAACAGCGGGAAAATAGTTTGTTGGTTACTGGGCGGATGTATATATAATTTTTTACGTAATTTTCTTCTCATGAGGTATTAGGCAACTAACACAATCTTCTTTTTATTATTCTAAATTAGAAAAGGGAATGTTCTAGGACAAAAAGAAGTTTTTTTATTTCGATTGCTTAATGCAGTTGACAAAAAGTACTGTTGATAAGCAATGGCAAAACAATATCTTAATTTTCAGCAGAGTTAAACAATGACTATCTTTTTTTCAATTCAACTTTCCAGCAAGTGCTAATAAAGTCTTTGAGGTTTTTTTGTTTGTTCTGTAGCCGATGGAGACAAATTCATTGAAACCTCAAGAGTTTTACTTTAGAAACTTGTGTATAAAACATCGACTTGCTTCGAAAAGACTCAATTTACTAACCTCTTTTGATGAAAAAATGAAAGAGATAAAATGAGAAAACTTTTCTTCTGCAGAAAAAAACTTAAACACGTCATGATGGTAACCTCAGTGGCTAAGTGGAGTTTTCCACTTCCTCCTTTTCTGTAAGCCCTGCATTTGTTCACAACTGTTGTCGAAAGTGTTTACTAAAATGATGAACATTTGCATTTGTTGACATTTGGGAGGAAATGGAAGCCTATCGTGGGAGGGGAGTAAGGGTAGGATGCTTGGGGAGGCCCGAAAAGGGTGAGTAAAGGGAGGAAAGAGAAGAGGAAGGGAGGAGAGTGCAAGGTTGAATGGATGAATATAGCGACGAGAAAAACTGCGAAGTGGGCATGAGGATCTGTTGGCAATTGTTATGTCAGGCTTTCTTGAACTGGAATATGCGCCAGTGCTTAAATGCAATGTAATAATCATTTCTTGTTAACTTTCTGTTAAAGCACGTTGTTAAAATACTTAAATTCAACTTGAACTTCATGATGTAACAATATATAGCGGAGCTCGCAGCGCGCGAAGCGTAACCCCATAATTATACGAAATAGTAGTAACCCATCAAGCCCAAAAAATTTGGTTGTACGACCGTACGACCGACCGTACAATGTGCTACTTTTAGCATGCGTGGCCAACTGTACCACGGGCACTATCTTAGCCATTGCGTAATGGAAGGGCGAGGGAGAAGGTAATACGCAGGCGTGATTACGCTCGTAACTTGGACATCCCATTAGTGCGCGCCAGGAGACACCGTCAGATGACGATAAAGTGCGCATACTCGGGCGTCAAGCTGCAGTGTAGTATACTGCGAGCGCACGGTTAGGCATTGCACGAGGGCTTCACGTGGGCTGTTACGAATTAACGCATCAAGCTGAGAAAATTTGGACGTATAACCGTACGATTGACCGTACTAGGTGCTACTTTCAGCATGCGCAGCCAACTGTACCGTGGGCACATCCACGCCATAGCTTAACTCTTGTCCAGCGGACGTTTTAGTACAACGCGTGCGCAACACTTGCATAAAGCTGAGGAGATTCTGGGCTCGAGATAAATTTAGTCAATGGTTCGTTGAGCATGCGCAGACAAGAGCCTTGTGGGCTCATCCTTGCAATCGTATCTGAATGCGCATGCCCAAGTTACCCTACGTCACATGAACAATCACGTCAATATATGTGTTACACGAGGTGCACATACTCGAGTGCAGTAGAGTGTTTGTGTTTTGCAGGCGCGCATCGCGCGGATTAATGCGACACATCCGGATACTCTTTAAGTCCATCGGCGGTAAATTTGAAGAGTCCTCCAAGAAAAGAGAGCAAAACAGTAAAGAAAATGGCTATAAATTGCCCACTTGCGCCTAAGTTTTTCACTCTCAAAATCCGATGAACTATTCGCGAAACTTTAGAGTCAGCATATGAAAAAGTTACTTCTACGTCTCAGGAGGTCTTATGAAAATTTTCTCTGTCGTACGAGGCTTGGAAGTACTATCAAAACCGATTTTTTTCGAGGCAACCTCTGGCCACCCCAAATTTTACGTCGAGAAGCACGGTTGACCGAATTTTAAAACTCCCGCGAGTGTATTGATATATGCAAAATTCCGCCTCCGTAAACAATAGCGTGCATACCACTGCAATTAAGCATTGAAATTGACAACTGCACTAACAATGCTACATTCGCAAGCTTTAGAATTGGGAGAATTCGGAAACGTAACCATCTGCAACGTTATCACACCAGATAAATCGTAACACTCTTTGTTTGCTGCAGCAACAGAAACAAGATCTTCTCAGAATTCTGCCATGTTCACCATTAAAGAAAAGCAGCGTGTTGATCGGGAGTTCTTTTCAGAGCTCATAGAATCCCCGGTCTACTCTGCTTTTTTAAACATGACTCGGCCGTTGACAGGTAGTTTAAACCCACTGCTCTATCTTCGAATCAACGGCAAAGCTCTTCGGGAATGGCGTCGACTCAAAAATCCTGACGAAGTATTTGATGCTCTCTAGTGCAATTTGAGGAGAATCGGGTATACGTTGTCCTCGTGTTGCCGCGCTCGTGTCGGAAAAGCTGTTCACAGCAGGGTAGAATATACAATAAAGAAGGTGAACCAAGCCTCGAATGGCAACATTCATCGGGCCGTGAAATCTAAGTACTGGGCTTCCCTCTCATTACTTCCGGAAGAGCCAGATGGGATGATCGAGGAACTGTTAAATAGACAACAAGAACTGGTTACTAAAAACCAAAGACTGCGGACCGAGATTGAAGGTAACAATATATCTATTCTATCCAGTTTTGAAACAATGCAATACATTTGTCATCAACCCAAAGTGCCTACACTTCTATCAAAGTGGACTGATCAACTTTTTTTTGTCCTTAAAGATAAAGCATCACAGCTTTATGACGCTATGGTCAAGCACACTCTCGATGGTCATAAAGGAAGGGCGACAGAAGGAGTAGGGCGACGTCAACAACAGCGCCATCTAAAGGAAATAAGGTTAGCTTAGTTTACATGTTATTTGGCCTTTTTCTTGTATTTATTTCCTTAGTATAGCTTTTAGTCTGCAATTTATACTAAGGCAATTAAACATTTAAATACATACAGATGTTTGATGTATATGAAATAAATCAATCCTTGTTCTATTGCAAAATAATCATATTTTAAAAAAGTTACCTTGGCTTTCTTTACAGAGAGAAGGCGCACAACGCACTCTGGTTCGCCGAGACCTACGGTTTGGAGCCAAGATCGCCTAATCTTGAAGATAAGGCTGGTCGCCTAATAAAAATAACCTTTGCCTCACAGCATTTTCCTGGTAAAAACTTGACAGAATTTCACTAATAACAAATTTCATTCTTTTCCATGTCAATTAGTCCAAAAGTTTTGTGTCTGACGTCTCTTTCTGTTTCTTGTAGAAAATACTGAAAATATTGCTTCTGCAAAAGGAAGAAAGACGTTACCACGCGAATCAATAGTTACAAGTATGTTGAAAGCAGTAATATGTAACTGCTTACATGATATTTTTATAACTCAAATATTGCCTTAAAAATGTTAGCCAAGTTGTTTCTGAAAGTCACTGTCACAGAGATTTTTTTCTACTAAAATAAGTAGGATGTAAGGCTATAAAAATTACACAATTGGGGGACTAGAAAATCAAAAAGCGATGAAAGTAAAATATATTTGGCTCCTTAAATGTGATGGATCACCTATTTAAAACTAAATTTAAATTAATCTTTAAGAATATTTCCAGCATATAAAACAACTTTGATGTAACAACAATAACAATATTAATTATTTCATTTCAGGGGCCAAATAGAGGTCTATGAGAGCCTCTATGAGAAAAGGAGAAGATCAGAACAATACTTTACATCATGGACCGATTTTCCCTTTCACTGAAGGGTTACCATGAGCTCACCAAAGCGGAAAAGGCCCTCCCCCGAACCCACCTGATGGAGAGGTGTGCAAGGACTCTAGGTAGGAATTAGAATGTACAAAGAACCCCCGGTAGAGCACAGGGTGCTGAACTGCCTTTCAAGCTCCTCATCGACAAGGAAGTTGGAAATTTTGTAAGTTTTATGTCTCTGATAAACCTTTTCATAAATGCCACGGAAAATACAGTGACTCATGGGACCCTAACTTAAGCATTGCTCGTTTTCTTCTCTTGCCTTAAGTCTAACACTTTACTTCTTTTACAGGTTAAGAACAATGCAGATGGCACTATTAAAGTGAAAGTTAAAAATTTCAGGAGATGAAACAAGGATTTTCCATAGCAGGAATTTGTTCGTTTGCTCATTTGCCCTTGTGGAAGATGGCAAAAGATGTTTGTCTAGTGCAGGTACACTATCTACCATTCTTTTGTTGTAGGTTAACAAAATAATGACACTAGCGTACGTTTTCTCTAGGGAATCATACAATAGCAACAGTGAAGGGCAAAGAGGAATATGCAACTCTGAAGGAGTCACTTGTGAAAGTGATCAAGGATGTAAACAATCTAATTGAGAAGGGCTACATCCTAGTTGATGGAAGACAGATAAAGCTACAGTTTTACCTCGGAGGTGATTATAAGGTGAAGTATCATACAAAAGTTAACCTTCAATAATAAATCAAAGTAGCTCTTTACAAAGTAGCAAAAAAATGATTCTTTAAGATTCATAAAAGTTTTAGACATCAATTTGATCTCCACTGCTTCACTTTTTAACAGTTCCTTCTGCTAGCCATGGGTATGAAAGGGGCAACGTCTCACAATAGCTGCATTTGGTGCAAAATCCACAGGAATGAGGGGTAATTACATTTTATGAACTCCATTATTTTAAACCTTGGACTAACTTTCAAGGCTCTTAGAGTAAGTTCCACAGCTTTCTACAGTCATCGCAGCTTGTTATAGACATCTGTAGGTGAAAATGATAGCTTTTTTCTCGAGAAATCAATGGATGTGATAGACAGAAGTGAATAGCTGAACATCAAATTGTATTTAAAATGCCACGCAAGATCTAACACAACCTTTAATGATTTTCAGGTGCAATGTGAACCACAATTGCACCTATTTTCAGACACCTGAGTTAAAAGGGGAATTGAACCAAGATTGGTCAACATAACCTGGATGCCAAGGAAAGCGATTTTTTTACATACCCTTAGATCACATCATGATAGACAAACTCCATTTGATGCCCAGGATAACAGACAGGCTAGAGGAGGGCTTAATTATGGATATTCTTAAATGGGATGAGGTACCGATAATTATTTCAGTTTTACTGTCAGTGTCAAAGCTTGATACTTAATGCCCTTCAAATCAAACAATCGGGCAAACAAGTAATCAGAAAGTGATTGTGAAGTAAATATGACAAAATTTTAAACAGTCATAATATTCTGTGTAGGAAGACAACAAGAAAAACAATGGAAGGCAGAAGATTGAGGTGCACACAAATAAGTTCCTGGAAACAGTTCGATCACTTGGGGTGACACTAACCTCTAAGAATCATCACTGACCTCTTAATACTTTTTCTTCTCAATCTGAGTCTTGTTTTTTGTAGTTGACATTTTGAGCTGTTTCGATGTAGATGTTCAAGAGGATGATGAAGATGTTGATGTTTCAGACGATCCAGATGTAAAGGTCGGCAACTAAGCAAACCATTATTGTACAGCGTAACCCCGTTAATACGACCGACGTTGGGTCATATAAATGCAGCGCTCGAACACGAACATTTTAACGACTTTCAATCGAGTCGTGTTGTCAGCGTAATGAATGTGACGCCATATGTTAAATCAATTTCAGTCTCAGTCTCTTCGCTGGCCATACCAGCCGGGTTAAATCGAGAAGAAGAAATGAGGATTCCGACTCAAATTGTGTATGCGAATCGACTTTAATGTCGTTGATTCGAACTTTATGCGAAACGACTTCGATGTATGCGAATCGACCAAGATCGTTCCGACGAAACGACCTCGATGTATGCGAATCGACTTGTATGCGAAACGACCGACATCCTTCAAAAGTACATTATTTCTTGGGGAAAACACCTTTGACATCCTCATATACGAAATCGGGACATTGGCCAGAATGTCGAGTTCCGCAAAATGCGGGACTTAACGAGATTATAGCTGATGAGTTTACCCGTGACAGAATAAAAAGCGACTAAGGCCGCACCAAATAAATCTGGGAATATTGGTCAGAATGTCGAGTTGAACCAAAATTCAAGAATTATATGGAAATAAGGTGAGTTGACCCATGATGGTCTGCAAACAGTAAAGATTTGGGCTGCATTGGCTAAAGCTGAGAATAGTGGCCAAAATGTCAAGTTGGACCAAAATGCGAGAATTATACGAAAATAAGGTGAGTTGACCCATGATGGTCTGCAAACAGTAAAGACTCGGGACACATCGGCTAAACTGGGAGTGGTAGCCAAAATGTCGAGTTGGGCCAAAATAGAAGAACTATATGGAAATAAGGTGAGTTGACCCACGATGGTTTGCAGACAGTAAAGACTAGGGCCACATAGGCTAAACTGGGAATAGTGGCCAAAATGTCGAGTTGGACCAAAATGCATGAATTATATGGAAATAAGGTGAGTTTACCCATGATGGTCTGCAAACAATAAAGATTTGGGCTGCATCGACTAAAACTGAAAATAATGGCCAGAATGTCAAGTCGCGATTGCTTGCGTAGCTTGGATACCCCATTCGTATGCGCTAGGAGACACCGGCTGATGACAATGAAGTGCGCATACTCGAGTGCCGAGCTTTGGTGAAGTGTACCGCGGGCACACGGCTAGATATTACACGAGGGCTTCACGTGCGCTAGTGGATGTGAATCCGCGTGAGCAAATAATTTGCCACCCTTATTTTGAGCGGAAAATCAAACTGGACAGGATGTAGTTGAAAAGTAATTTTCAGTATTTTGCGGTTTCTAAACAACTCGTAAGGCAACAATACCGGCAGAGTTTGAATTTTGTCAACCGGAGGAAATTGTTATAATTCAAGTTCGTGGAGAGAGGGTTTTAAGTGAAAATAGGCTGGCTGTAAAGAGGCAGAGCGACCAAAGAAGGCAACAAGTAAACGGCGTCATGTTTTAGATTTGTAGAAAAATTGCAGTGACTCTATGCATTGAGTGAACGCCGCCGTACGTAGCGTTGCGTGAAATGGCTCAGCGTAATGTCGAATGGTACAGTATGGGCGGCCGTCACCACCAAAAATACAAGGATGTCAAATAGATCAACAAATACAAAGCTGATTTGAGGATCACCTGCAGTATAGAATAGCTAATAAAGGAATGGCATGGCCAAATTATAGACGGTTTAGTTTTCCTTCATGAAACAGAACACCCTAAACAAGGATAGTTCAGCCAAATGATAAACGGTCTAGTTGCCAAAGTCGAGTTGGAACATGAAATTGTGAAATGAACTAGCTCAATTACGAATAGCTTAGCACTCGTTTGCAATACAGTACATAAACGGTGTAGCGTTGCGTCAAATGGCACAGGATAATGTCGAGTAACACAGGGTACGTACAAATGGTGTAGCATTGCGTGAAATAGCTCAGCGTAATGTAGAATGGTACAGCGTACATACAAACAGTGTAGCGTAGCGTGAAATGGCTCAGCGTGGTGTCTAAAGGTATAGCGTACACACAAATGGTGTAGCGCTGCGTGAAATGGCTCAACGTAATGTCGCCGGGACCCCCCCGGTCCAAATCCGCTAGCAGATATGGACCCCCTTCGCAAATTTGGACCCTCCTACCAAACATTTCTTTTAAGTATCGTTTGTATCATATTTGGTAACTTATTCTATATACAAGCTTTTTGCGATGTTCTTTTCAATCACAGCACAACATTCCTCAATTAACGTAAAGAAAAACAGCCATTTCGTTCCAATCCTGTCGCATTTACTATAGCGAGTCGTACAGTATACACAATAATTAGATGCGAACAAACTACTGCATTCGAACGATTGAAATTGTAACAATAAATCTTTGCTTCTGCTGATGCGAATCAACATTGATACGAAACGTCATAACAATAGTGGAGACTATTGCGTCCAGTCATAAAAATAACTCGGTCTGATTTTCTAATTGAATAACGTTAAACAGTTTTTGAACAGGAAAGAAGTAACTACTCCTACTACAAGTCGTTCGTAAAGCCTATGGTAAGAAAAAATGTTTCTATTCTGAACTATTGCAACTCTCAGCTTATTTTCAGATGCAAATCAACATTAATGTCTACGTCTTAACAAAAGTGGAGACTATTTCATCTATCCCAATCTTATTTTCTAATTTTAACAATTATTAACTGTTGGGGGATCTGAAATAACAAACTCGCACTGTACCATGTCGTCCCAACACTTGGGCATTGAACAATAACAAAATAAATTAGTGTCATAAGTTTCTCTCTTACTGAATCGGTGTTCGACTATCGCGGAAAAGGTTCAAAAACGACCTTTCTCCGAACATTGAACTAAATGCTTGCACATTTTTCCTTGGTCAAAAGAAACATCGGACGGGTCATTTCTAGCTGCCAGTTCGTATGCGTCGGCGATACGCATATTTTGAATTAAAAACATACTTTAGTACGCACTGAAATGTAAAGTACTATCTATTTCTACGAGAACGTTAAGGATAATGTTTTCACTCAGTTCTGTTGGGGGGTTCATATCCGCTAGCGGATATGGACCCCCCATTGATTTGCTTTACTGACTCACTGTGCTCACTGCACGTGTATACACCTCAATCCACCAGTAATGTCTTAACGCAAAGTGGTTTACTGTCGTTTCTTTCAATTTTGGCTCCTTTTCCCAAACCGAAATTATAAGTCGCGCTCAACAGAATATAATTTCAACTGATGCCGACATCATGCACTTCATCTGAAGAAGACAACATTCTTTGTCTTCGAAAATTTTGTCATAACATCAAGAACAACGACAACGGTTGTAACCAGTCTGAAGATACCGCTGACTAGCATGTGTGTAGTTGTGAGAACATCGTCCCCAGGTTCCAGACCTCGTCAATTCTTCCCCACCTCCCCACTCCCCGATCTGGTCTTTCATTCCACTGATGAAACTCTTCTACAGCCAGTGCTGAAGAGTTTTATTACAGTTTTCAGTCAGTATAATGAAGGGCTGGAAATTAAACTAACAAGAGCTCCGCTTTTAGGCTTGGCTAAATCTATACATTATAAATAATAACGATAATAATAATAATAATGATAGTAATAGTTATAAGAAATAACAAAAAGTTGCGATTGTCTTTAGCCGGCATAGTATTAGGTCAGAGGAAAGATAAATTGGGGAGATATATGCCATGGTCTGTCAATCTGGATTGAAACGCTTCAGCAGTACAATGGATCAGAACATTGGTAACGGAGGCGTTTACAAGTTTTCCTTCTATTGCATCTTGAAATTATCGAATCAGTTTAAAAAAAATTGCTGTTTCTTCTACCGCTAGTGTATTTTATAACTGCGAAACATCGACAAATCCCAACTGACTCCTTTGTTATCATGATAACAAACTCGAAGGTTTCCTTGGACAAACACGCAGTTCTAAACAGACCGATAAAGCATGCGTCAAAGATGCGACTATCCACAGCTTCGTCCGTAAGTGTGAAAAGTTGAGAACGTGGATATCTGATTTAGTGATATACATGAAAATGCTATTTTATAGATGCGGCCATCGCCTCAGACTGATGACGTCATCCAAAAGCTTAATGAGGATACGGAATGGTTTCAATCTAAACTGACTTGTTAATCAATAAATGGTCATATGATAAGCCTCTTATCTTTTTTATTGCAGATACTAAATAGAGTGTTTTACATTATGTTAAATACAACTTATTGTGTTTGGATAGCGTGCAAAATTAAGCGCTCATAAGTGCTCTCATTTCGTCCGGTATTTAAACAAGCATTCCATTTTGCCATAACAAATTATTTCCGTCTACCACAGTATGAACCTTTTAAATGACGTTTTTTCCTCATACGAATCGAAAGCACGTAAGAAAATTATTAATTTGAATTAATTCACACTCTATTAAAACGGTTCTCTCCGTTTGGGATAAAAGCATTTAATACCAACAGCAAAACGTTAAATGTCAACAATGCAATCGCTTGTTTCAAATAAAGGGAACTTGAAAGTTAAACAAATCACTAGAATATGTAAATATGTAATTTAAAGATGATACTTCGTTAAGGAATACCCCAGTGCTAGTTAATATCTCACGACTAATTCATTACCAAACTACAAAATTTTACCAAATTTCATATCGCCGTTACGAGATCTCTTACTAGGTCTGCCACAGACAAAATTACTAAATGGTTTCACAATACAACAATGAAAAGCTCGCCAAGTACAGCTATCGACATAAACGAGCCGTTTTTCAAGTAGGTTATTTTCTGTTTCTTTCCTTCTTTTTCTTCTGATTTAATCGATTACGGAAGTTTAATTCACATCTATCCAATTTTCCTTATTCTGAAACCGATTAAATTATTTATTATTGGCATTCTTTAAG